AGACCTGCTCCTGCTTCTGCTTCTGCTTTCTCTCTTCACGCAACGTCTTGTTAATTGAATTGACTCTTTCATCACGCAATCGAATAGAATAGCTCCGCTGAATACATCTGCTTGTATCTCACACACAGCCTCTAGTGATTCCGTGACAATATCCTCTGAGAATTGTCGCAACATTGAGCTTCGAATTTGATCGAGAAGAAGCTCAGTCCTTGTTTCTGATGTCGTAGAGTCTTGGAGCTCCTGCTCGACATCATGATACCACTGGAGATCCTCGCCCCTTAGCAAATATTGGTAATTGACTTTCTCGCCGTCTTCGTCGCCGACTAGCTCATCGTCTTCCGGAAACATTTTCGTCAGATTGAAGGCGCGATTGAAAGTAAGGCTGCGAAAAGCATGTATAGATGTTTGAGTATGTTTGAAACTCGAGTGGTTGAGGCTGCCAAGGTAACAAGGTTGAGGGTTTACGTCGCACGGACCACGCCTGTCGCGGCCCGTGCGCCCAAAATTTTGGGTTGAGCGGCAATTTCAGCAAAAATTGAAGTCTTCAACCTCCACCCTATCCGATGAGCCCAATTACACTCACTTTGGTGATGAAAAGAACTTGAAATGAACGCCAGAAAAGCAAAAAGAACACGACACCTGCAGGACTCGAACCTGCGCGGCCGAAGCCATGAGATATCTAGGAAAGATTCGAGTCTCACCCATTAACCACTCTGGCAAAGTGCCTTATTTCGAGAAAATTAAAATTACGGTCTTTATGGAAGAACGAAAAATTCAAAGACTCAAGACGAACATTCAGAGACTCCGTGGCATCGCCCGGGCAGATATTTAGGTCGTAGCTCTTACGGGAGAAGTCATCTAGCAAACACATGGTCTCCACTTGATTCTCATTTTTCACTGCTGCTGGGGCCGATCTGCTCTCGGCGTTTCCTCGGGGATGGCCGTACGGTACCGTGCAGGACTACCTCACAGACAATAGGTTGGAAGCATCATCACATCGGCAAACCAAACAACTTCACGACCACCTCTGCTGGTAGGCATTGGTTTGTCCTCGCCAAACAAAACAACAATTCAATACCTCAAATTGAAACCGAATCTCCAAAATGTCCACCGCACTCCCCACCCGCGACCCAACGGACCCCAATTCCCGCCGCTTCATCAACACCGTCGCAACGTCTCTCCTCTTCGTCTGCCCGCTCATCGCAGCCCTCCCACCCCGCCGCTTCAACATCGGCACCGCCTTCCTTGGCGTCCTATTCGTCGGCAGCGCAAACCACCTCGTCGTCGACCGCACGCAAAAGAATATGCTCCAACACGCCGGACTCGGGTATCTGTGGCCGACGACGGAGGAAGACCGTATGGGCTACAGGAATAATTGGCAGAGGAAGAGGATGGAGGAGGAGAAGAGGATGATGGAGGAGGGGAAGGGATATAGTGATATTATTTTCAATCAGATTTGGGAGGTTGTCAATTGGGATAAGAAAGGGAAGAAGTCGGACGACGACGATTGAGTCGGACGAATGGATTATTGTGTAAAGCTATGGGAGGAGGGCACATAAAACTCGTGGTGTACAATATGGAGCATTCGCATGGCGCTGGAGGGTATGGCATGGCGTTCTGGGCACAGCTACGGACTCCGCTCACACTCACTGCCGTGGAAAAAAGGCTCAGGTGTCGGCTAGAAAGAGGTCGTACGGAGGATCACCATCAGCCATGTCAAGCTTGAAAAATGCGACTTGGAGCGACATGTTCGGTACAAGGAGGCAAAAGACAACCAGCCGTTGCACACAGAATCCGTCCATGTCGCAGGCCCGAAGAGCAAAACATGCGTACAACCACCAGACTTCCAGACGCAAATGCAATTATCTTGGGAATTTTTTTTAATCAACCAATTGCGTCCCCTCATCTTCCCCAACTAATCTCGTTCATCCGCAGTTCCGCTTTTCATCGCGCCAGCAAAAAATTCCGCGAACACCACATCTCCAAATGGCTCTCAACCCATGATCCAAGCAGAAGAGTCACTGCATCTGCGGATGTTCGGTCCGCCAGTCCCATAAATCTCCTTCTCGGGCAATGAAAGGAAACTATCTTGCTTCTCTCTGCAATGTACAGCGCAAATGTACCCGGTATGTCGCCACACTTTTAAATTCTACAGAGCACACTGCAGCAACACCAAGCGCAAAGCGGGCATATAGGGTCCGAAGCGGAAACCGAATATCGGATCGTTGAACTCCGAAGATACAGCTGCACAACTGGATTTCCCGAACTCGGATGCAATCAACAGTGCAAAAAGTGGCGAGATGAGAGCGTAATATGTTGGTGCCAGATCATATTCAAAATGTCCAAATAGCAGCGCTTTCCGTTTGCGTTCATTTTTATACACTTGTTTGTCCTCGCGTCCAAGCCGTCTGGAAATACTTCTACTCACCACCTTCCCCCTTCCCCGCCGAAATTACAACCTACATTGCTATGTCCCTCGAGCAAAACAACTTCGGCACGAGCCGAGAATACCGGCACTTCCGTCCCAAGTTTCCAAGTCCCACGCAACCCACACCATCATCTCCAACCCACATCCCAGACAAGTACCTGCACAATTCTCCGCTGTACCCGTCCCGCACGCCTCGCTTCTCGCTCTACAGCCCATCGCAATAATCAAACCACAAATCCTTCGCCTCAAGCCAATCAAATGTCGCCATTGCTTTAGCGATTGAGTGCTCAAATGTCTGGTGGGCCAACCCGTCTGCCACAGATGCCAGGGACGGCGGAAACGGGACGGATTGGAGAGGTGACCTGCAGGTGCGTTGGGGATGGATACATTATATGTACATGTTCGGCGGCGCGAAATGGTGTCCTCTGTGGGTTTTTTGTGTCGGGGAGGTTTCTGGAGAATGTCTCTCTCGTGAAGTTGTCCTGCTCCTCCGACCACGTGAGGAGAATTCCTAGTCGTTTTTTACTTCTTCAATTCTGCTCCGTTCCATTCCCTCGATCCCTTTCAAAGTTCACCACCCGCCAGATTTCTCCAGATATCCGTCCTACTGTCAAACATGGCGTCCGCTACAAAGAAAAAATGCGACCGGATTTCAAAACCGTTTCAATTCACTTCTCTGTTCAATTCATATTCAAATTTCCCGAATCTTTATCTTACGCCGTTTCCCTTTTACCTCAAAATTTTTGTTGTTGTTCCTTTTTGTGGGAGTCATACACCTTTCCTAGTATCATATCATCATAGAACTCATTCATGGTAAAAGATGGGACAGGACCAGATCGTGGCATCTCTCCGAGCCGAGTCCAGTTTCTCGGGCAAGTACGTCTGCCAACGGACATGTCCCTCTCCGCCAGACGGAACCATCACCATCGAAACGATGGCCATCACTCTCACAGCACGCACCCCACATCCTTCCCCTTCAGCCCAACCGCCTAATCTTCTCCCTCGGCCAATCAATCCACCCCTGACACCTCCCCGCCCCCTCAAGCCCATCCTCAATCTTCACTAACACATGTCTCGCAAACCCCTTCAACCACCACAGATGATCTACCTCGGCAATCAGCACCGCGAAATACGCAAACAGCACCAGGGCCTCGGGCTCCCTCTTCCCGAGCAACAGCACATACGACTCGGGCACCAGCGCGCCCCACGCCCAGATGGGCGCAAGGCAGCATGATGTTAGGGGCACGTTGTTCAGTGTGAAAAACCCCGTGCGTAAACTGTCGATCAGGCTGATGTAGACGAGTTTATCCTGCGGCGGCACGTCCAACGAGGCCGCGATCAGCGACTTGAGATACAGCAAATGTTCCTCGGCGGGCGGAATCGTGCCCGTGGGCGAGGGCGCCAGCGCCGTGCTGATGATGACGGACAGGTCCGAGCGCAGGAGACAAGGCCACGCGGTCGAGGACACAGAAACGACGCCTCGCAGCAGGATCAGCCAGTCGGCGATGGTGTCTGTGTGTGCGAAGGGCGGCAGTTCCTCGGGTCGGTCCGGCGTCGCGACCGTGAAGATCCAGGTTATGCAGCTGAAGAGGAAGATGGCGTGGCCGTTCTGCTCTGTGAAGTTTGGCAGGACCTCTGCGGCTGATTTGAGCGCCGCGGCGTGAAGTGCCGTGGCCGCAGACTCGTAGAGTGCTTTTTTGGCGGGCTTGAGATGACCGAGATGCCGTGCCGAGACGGCCAGGAAGGCTTGGAAGACGTAGTCGTGCTCGAGGCCGATTTGCGGCGCGTACTCGCGCCAGATGCGGTGCATGCTCTTGTCGCGGGTGACGGTGCTGGACGTGTTGGTGTGCCAGTGGTGCAGGAGTTCCATGTGCATGATGTTGAGGGTTGAGATGGCCGGGTGGGGGGAGAGGGTTACTTCGTTGATGGAGCGGAGGCGCGAGAGGTCTTGGGTGTACATGCCATTGGGGAGGACGGAGAGGTGGGGGTCTTGTTGGCGGTGGAAGGGCTGTTGTTGTTGGGAGGGTTGCGATTGCGGTTCTGAAGAAGCGGAGACGGAGGTGGGCGACGTGGTGGGTTGGTGGTAGTGGGATAGGCTGGAGGAGGAGAAGAGGGAGGATGCTAGGGGTCGGCTGTGGGTGGCAGATGAGGAGGAGGAAGCGCCATTTTGCTGTGCGGCGAGGACGGGGTAGGTACACTGGTCGGATCGCCGCACGCAATTGTCACATTTTGGTTTTCGTTCATTGCACTATTTGGAGCAGGTGGGTTGTGGTTAGCAATGGGATCTGTTGGCGGTGTATGAGAAAGGGGCCCAGAGACCGATGAGCGAAGAGTTTGACTGGGAGAAGGAAGAGCAAAGAGTTTGACTCGGAGGAAGAGCGAAAAAGTAACGTAGGTTAGGGAGATGGGGTAGGGGAGAACGGGTAGACCAACCTTGATCTTCGCTTTCCTGCATTCCAGACACCCTGTCTTGCTCTTGTGATGGTGGCGGATGCTGCGCTTGCGGATCATGTAGTTCTGATTGTTACATGCGGAGGAAGAAGCAGAAGAAGTGGCAGTGGTGGGGCGATTCGAGAATTGGTGGTGGGAGGAGGCAGCTGCGGCTGAGGGTTGGCTTGCGGCGCGCACCGAAGACATGATGGTGGAAACGCTAAGTTATGACGATTGGGAAGGCAAAGGCTGGACCCGACCGGGTCTGTATATGGCAGCCGGGTAAAAGAGAGAGAGAGAGACAGAAAGGAAAATCAAGGCACTACTACTACGTAGGCGTAGGGTACAGCAGCAAGCAGCAGAAGCAGCGCAAGTGGGACATGTGCTGGGGGTGTTTGAGAAAGGAGAACATGGGGGAAAGAAGGAGAGAGAAAGGGGTGACTTTGTATATCTGAAGCAGCGCTCAAACACAAGAGAGGCCTGCGCCGGGTTGCAGACCAGCCGGTGAACCGGTTATACCCTGTTAATGCTGTTATACCCCGACGATGGCTGGAAGGCTGGATAGCCGGGGACCCGCAGTGCCTGACCATTGTTTCTTTCGGGGGGGTTAATCAATGTGGGGTGGGCGACGGGCCGGGGGGACGGCAATATAGGGATACTCCCGTGACCAATTGTCGGTGTGGAAGTGTAAAGGGGACTAGCTGGATTGGAGGGGGATGGGGGATTGACTGTGAGAAAGCAGGAAGTGGTAGATTGGGGAGAGTCAGTTGGGAGGGGAGTTGAAAAGGGGATGCCTGTGTTATAGTGCGGAGACTGCAGGCGGTGCAGGCGGTGCAGACGAGAGCAGTGAAGAGCAGAAAGATGTCAT